CCACATTAGAGTGGCCCACACCTTCTAGAGGCACTGGGGGAGAAGAAAGCATGTCTGGCTCACACACCTGCTGGGAAAGGCACCCCCAAACAGATGGGGAAACCTCTCCCCCACCACCCAGCCAGATCAAAGTAAAAGAGGCTCCTGAAAGTTCCCTTCTTCCCTCATCCCCACTAAAACCACAGCTCAGACCCAGGCCAGGCTCAACCCAAGACCCTTGTCCTTCACTGCCTGCCAGGCATCCCTCTTGCAGCTGGGGTGCTGGCAGAACCCCCTCCCAAACGCCTCCCTTCCAAGTCCCCAGTCCACATTCGATCTCCTGTTCAGAGTCAGCAACCCCTCAACAGTCGCAATCTCCCACTGGAACCCCATGCTCCAAGGGCTCCAACGTCTGACACAGAAGCCTCGCCTCCTGCTCTCTCACCTGGGACACACAACCTGCCATCTTGGCCCCTCGCAAACTGTCAACTCCTAGTCAAGAGCCTCACCGCTCTCTCACCTCACGCTCTTCCCTTCACTGTCCAAGGGGCTCAGGTGATTCTGGGATGGAAAAGAAATTCGGTTCCCGCTTTCCTGGCGGGTGCGGGCACAGCATGGCAATCCCAGAATCCCTCACCCGCCTTGTTGTCTGGTCTGCGGACTCAGGACCTCCACAGACGGTGGCTGTCCCTAACCCCAAGCTTCCCGCAAGTCCCGCCCACACGGACCCACTCACACAGGCCCCGCCCACTGGCTCTCAGGGACCGCCCATGCAGGCCCTGCCCACTCTCCCTCAGGACCCACCCTACTGGTCCTGCACTAAGGCCTCACCGTCCCACACAAGGTCCCACTAGGTCCCCAATGGCCCCACCCAACAGGCCAGCCCACACACCTCCCAGCCTCAAAGCCCCTCCACACTCCCCGGCCTGCACACAGGCCCCACTCACAACCCTCCCACACTCACGAAGGACTTGCCCACCGTGCAGGCCAAACTCTTTGTCCCAGGTCCCTGCACACAAGGCCCCACCTCTCATTGGCTTCGCCCAGCACACACACCCCCACCACCAGCCCTTACAGCCCCTCACAGCCGCTCACAGAACCTGCCCACACGACCTCCACCAGCTCCTACAGCACTGGAGAACTCACACGGGTCACGCCCACACTGGCCACGCCCATAGGCTCGGGTCTCTCCCCGCCCACTGATTAACCGCACACGCCCTCGCGCGGACAGGCAAGCTCTCACGACCCTCCAGTGCTAGTACACTCTCACACGCCCTCCGCACGAGCCCAGGCAGCAAGCCCAGATCCTCGGACCCCGCCCTCCCAACAACCTCACCCCGGCACCTCCAGCCTCCCACTCCCGCGCCCACACCCCCTGCGGCGACTCCCCGGGCTCACCTTCGCTGCAGAACTTGCCACCGAAGCCCGTATGGCTGCAGTCGCAGCCCACCTCGCCGGGGGCCAGTACAGTGCAGAGGCCGCCGTTGGCGCAGGGGTTGCGCGCGGGCGCGCACAGCGGATCGGCAGCCGCGCCGCGCAGGCCTTGGCTGCCCAGCAGCGCCGGGGGCCGCTCACCCAGCTTCAGGTTGGCCAGGAGGCCGCGGAAGGGTGGCTCGTACTTGACGGTGCTGAGCGTGAGTGCCGAGAGGCGCACGTCGGGAGGGATTCCACCCACGAACAGGTCGCTGGCCACCTGCATCTCGCGCCGCTTGGAGCGCACCTCTGCCGCGCGGGCCTCGCCATCCACCGCTAGCGCCGTGCGGCGCGCGTCGCGGGTCAACAACACCATGTGCCAGCGGTCGTCCGCCACCGGCGTGTCCAGCTGCAGCGTGGCGGGCTCGGCGCACGAAAGCGTGAAGCGCAGCCGCAGGCGCCCGTCCACCAGCAGCAGCTCCAAAAAGTCGCAGTCGCCGCCGTCGTCCAGGTAGAGCAACAGCGCGCGCGTGGCGTTGGTGCGCAGGCTGAAACTGAGCTCGCCGCTGCTCGCTGCGCCTGCCCAGCGCGCG